AACCAGTGGGAATGAAAACTGCTGTTGGAAACTGGCTCCAAAGTCTACGGCCTCCTTCCTTAAATTAAATTTGAATCCAGATTGGGGTTGGGGCTTTCAGAACTCCACCTTACTGCGGAGCTGCCTGAGATGTAGCAAAGCAGAACAAGCAAAATCCTTTCTGGAGAGGCTCAGCCTCACTGCGCTGCAGCGTGTCCCTGCTCAGGCAGCAGCCCTGCCCTGCCCATTACCTCCACGCCGGCGCAGCCACCGAGGCCAAAGCTGCAAATCTCTCTTGTGTGCGCAGGCCTTATTCTGATCCCTCTGAAGCCGCTACATGCTTCAGACAGTGGCTCCTAACAGCTTCAAACAACCGTATTAATCTGTGACAGCCTCCCTTGCCAAAGTGTGCAGGGCAGCAAAGGCGCAGGGAGCACAGCAGGAGCTGCGCAGCCAGACTTTTATGGCCACAAAGGCCAAGTCGCACCTGCTAACGATTGTGAATAGACTTGCAGACAGCACCAGGTGTGCCATTTCAACAGATTTCACAACTGGGTGTGCCTTTCATCTATGTATAGTGTCCCGGCGAGGGGATGAAGCATGCTCAGCAATTGTCCTAATTTAGCAAAAATCCTATTTGTCCAGTGGGTCGTCCCGCTCGGTCGGCACGTGTATTTCAGGAGCAATTATATCAGTTGCCCTTGGCCTGGCCCTGGCCGTGGCCCTGCGGGGAGTTGGGGAATGCTGCTTTTATCGTTGGTGGGGAGTGATGGTAATGAGGGAGAGGGTGAAAACGCAAGCGGGTGCCTGCCAGGGGAGCGTGCATCCAGCAGCGCGAGGAGCATCCTCGTGAGCCTGGGGGAGCGCAGGCGGCCAGGGGACCCTGCACCCCATCCCTGTGCCTGCCCCACCTACCCCGTGGTGTAATTCAGCTCATTTATTTAAAGTGTCAGCCTTTTAGAGAAGGCATTTTAATCATATCACTGTTCAGTGCTTAATACCGTGAGACCCTGGAGTAGCTCACAAATACTTTACAAATAGGGTAATAAACAACAATAACAAACAAGGTCCATGTACTCGCAAGGTGCTGGTGACGTCTCTTCTGCCACCTAATAGCGAGCCTGATGGCGACATTACGTTCAAGATTTTATAATTTCAGGCTTCATTAGAAGCCTGAGTCATAACTTCAGGTTCATTAGATTATCTTTATATCCCCAAGCCACATCATAAAGATGAGAGAGATGCTAAGATTTGTTTTTTAAATGCAGACCACTTGATTGTACTCAGTAAAAGAAAGACACTGATCTCATGGGGATGGTTGGATGAGATCAGATAAGATTTTTGCAGGCTGGAGTCAGAATTCATTAGCAGCAAATGGGGACCCTGTTTTATTCTGAACTGTCTGCTCTCCATGGACATATGTGTGGTGGCACGTCTGAAGGATGCGTCTAGAACACAGACGTGATTTCAAGATTCCATTAGAAGCACTTTTTTCCTGCCTGGGCTTGGCCGATGTATATCGGATTTGCTCTAATTATGATCACTGAAATGAGCCCTGACAAGAGAAGTGACATCTGAATTGCTCTGGTTGTATTTTTATAAATATGAATCACCTACTGTTTTGAAAAAAAGTTCAAGCCCTTTCCCCTGCATTTTCAAACCTTCCTAATTCCTTATAAAAATCCCCAACAAAATTAACAGGGAAAAAGGAAGAGGATGAAGATATGTTTATACTTAATATTGCAAAGTCAAACATCAGACACAACATCGCTTTATGTACAGATTTCACTATATTGCATCACCGCTGTTTCTGTGGAAAATTCCCAGATTGTGGAAGGAAACCAAAGTAATCCCTTCACCATTTTGTTTCTGTTTGAGAATTACACACTGCAGGGATGACCGGGCAGAGCACACGGCCTGGGTGTAGCATCCCTTGCAGTGTGAAGGCTTCAGAGCCACCGCAAGTCCCCCAGGGTTTCGTAGGTGTCTGCCCAGTACACCCCTGGGGTGGAACAGACTGAGGTGGGGGCAATGCTGCTCAGCTTCTCGCCTGGCCTTCTGGATTGTGGAGAAGTGCTCAGGGACTGCACAGATCATGCAGCTGCCCTCTGTCATGGTTATCTGGAAGAGAAATACAAACTGCATCAAAAATGGTTAGCCTGAAGCCCATAGCTTGCATTGGCAAGGTCGCCTTGGAGCACAGCGGGGGGCCGGTGTTGCGTGGCTGTGCCTGTGCCTTCAGGAGAGCTGCAGCTTCTCTCCCCGCACGCCGCTCCATACTGCTGCACCACGCTCCCCCTCTTCCCACTCAGTGACTTCCCACTCTCATCCCATGCCTGGGAGACCCCTGCTGCTGCTCTGGTGGTGGTAGCTCCTCTGTACCACCCTGCATGGCGCCAGGGCTGGGCTGTGAAGCAGACAGGCTTCAGGCACCTACACCTCGCAAGCCCTCTGCCCTGCTGTCTGAGTGATGGGCAACAGCCTTCTGCTGACCAGCAGCAGTAGTTTGGGCCAGATTTTGGCAAGTCAGGCACTGCCCTTGGTGCTCCCCCAACACACACACTCTTGGGGAGGGACAGTACGTTAGAGGGACAGCCACAGCGCCTTGGAGTGGGCAAGATATGTGTGCATTCCAAAGTGTCCAGCTCCAAGACGTACGGCCAAGGCACAACTGGCTGGCACCAGCTGTGTGATGCACACAGAGATTTTAGGACCTTCACCCTCCCCTGTGCTGGATATGGCCCTGTGTTCTCTCTGATGGCCCACAGTTCATGATGTGCATGTTGCATGGTGGCACAACAGATCCAGCACTGTCTGACCTGCCTCCTCTGGGGCGGTCTGATGAGTCCAAATTGAATGCAGGTGCCAAGATTTGAAGGTACTTCTAGACAGACTAATCAGTGAAATGTGCATTTAATCTGATGAATCACACCTTGAATGCTTGTCAGCCACACAGGTGGGTCAAAGCCTTGGGCTCTCACCAAGGTTGTTAATGCAATGTGAGTGCACCTTGTGAAGCACCGATTCCAGGTCCTGGATGTGGTAGGGGAGGGAATGTCTGACGCGGGGAAAGCTCTCAGCATTGCACAAAGAACCTCATTAGAGGTGGAGTGTTGTCCATTTGTAATTCTGGGGCAAATGGTATAAATACATAAATGCTGCTTTGAAAAGTTTCAATCTCTGACACCTCTCCACTACACGGATTTATTTTTCCAAATTACTGCATTGTGCAGCAAAAAAGGCTTTTGACGTGTATACGCACACACTTATTAGCTTGACACTAAACAGATCAACAATTTTAGCGGAATCAAAATTGACACTTTGGTAACTACAGCCTGGAATAAAAGGCGTTATTTATTATACATATTGTAGTAGTTCGTAAAGGCCTCAGCAGCAATCAGGACACATTGTACTCCACACCGTAAAGACACAGAGCAGTGGAGACCCCGCCCTAAAACACCTTCCAGTGTAAATACATCAGACAGACAGCATTTATTTACTTTTCACGATAGCTCAGCCCTTGACTCAACACAGACCAGGCACAGTTCAATGCAAATGTGTCTGAACTTTCACAAAAGGTGTCTGACTCCCACAGACTAAGGCTGCTCTTTCTCCAGTGGCTTTCCATGGGCCTTTCCTCCCTGTCAGTAGGAGAACCAGCAAGTACCACTTCTAGCAGCATTTAAAAAAAAAAAATTACTTATACACCTATTTAGATATGCAGTGATTCTGAATCAGCCACTGGATACCATCAGGCATCTGTACTGCATTTATTCCAGTTGCTATATGAAAGCTTGCATATTCGCAGTACTCATCTTCTGAACATACTCAGTACCTCAGTAATCCTAGAAACACATATAATGCAGTCATGTTAATTAACATTAACTCAGTGAATAACATAAACCACTACATCATTAAATTTCCAGACTTGATTCTCTTTCATTCATGCTCTTAACAGTTTCACATGACAAACAGTCCACATCCAAACTACGCTGATAGAACAAATAATACACATGCTAATTAGACCACTTTATTAAATCAAATTGTGTTGCTCAGTATGTCTGTGCAGGTTGTACGGGCTTCAAGGTAAACTGCACAAATGATAATAAAATTTCTCAATAAAGCACTTCCAATCATTAGATTCAAGGAGCGTTATCTGAGGGGCAAGTCCCGTTCTTCCCATTTGGGCAATAAGGGAATTGAGATCACAGAACACCTCAGAGAAATCACTTGTATTAGTCACCTCAGAGTCAAATTAAAAGAATTTGGCCTCTCGAGTCCTGCTCTAGAGGACAAAGTTTGATCTAATTAATCAAATATTACCCATCAAACAAACAAAGAAGCATGTGTTCCAGTAGAAGCCCCCACCGTTCATCCCTCCATTCCGGCTGCTCAGCATTATAGCGGGAACAAACAGAAGCACATACTCTTACAGCTGGTCTATTGTCAAAATGACACATTAGCAGAAGGATTTACAGACATGTTTGCTTATGAAATAAAGGTTTGCATGTTCAGAAATGCAAACGTTTTCTCTGTACAAGAGCTACACACCACAGAGAAAGCTGCTTCCTGAAAGCTGTGCAGAACTCAGGAATGTAGTTAGGATACGTGTCTATTAAGGTTGGCTGCCTCCCCCCCCAAAATATCAGGAACTACAGCGAATACACAGCTGCCAGTATGTACAGACCACAGTGACAGGCTGGTATAGCAGCTGCACTGAGGTCCTGAGTGACCCTTCAGAACAGTGGTAGAGCAGTGCCATTAAAAAAAAGAGAACTGGACACATTTACTTAGCCTTTATGCAAAAATCAACATTTGCTTCTCAGAGGCAAATCCTGGCCCCAGTGAAGCCAGCAAGTGTTTTGCTAATGATGGAAATTGGGTCAGGATTTTAATTCAGATTTTACTTCCAAATTTATTTCAATAAAGATTTGCTCTGTGATGAGTTGATCGAGGCAGGCAGTTTTCTGTATCCACAGAACCAGCAGGACAGCTTTTCTTAAAATCATGGTGTTTTGATTTTACTTTTTTGATAGCTTGGGTGCTATGTTGTTTTGGAACCACATGAAGCTGAAGATGACACCCATCGTCTTTGGGAGAGTCTCATCGTAAGCAAACTTCATGGAGTCTTCTAAAGGTACTTCTACAACTTCAATCAGCTCTCCTTCTTCAGGCTGGCCACCTCCTTCACCAGTTCTCATCTGGTCTGTTACTTCTGCATAAAATAATGTCTGCCTAGAACCTGTCACACCAACTCCAGACCTGGAAAAAAGCAGAGAGGAAACTGTTTTAGATAAAAAGAAGGTAGCTAGGAACTAGGAATGGAAACTTGGGTCCTTAATTTGTGTCAATAAGCAATATCAAAATGCAAGTCCTTACCCTCTATTAATGTCATTTAGAACCTATAAATGCAGTTTCATTAATACAGAAATTGATTGCAACTTGCATGCAGAAATATCAACACTTTTGAATACAGTTGCATATGAAATGGATCTATCTTCAAATATGTTCTGCAACTTTGGAAAAATATTAGTTTGGGAGAAAATAAAAAAAAAGGTTTTGAATTCATGAACTGTTGTTCTACATGTACTGAAGTCAACAGAAGTTTTTTCAACTGACCTTAGTGAAAGCTGGACTGCACAATGACTCAGAGATTTACAAACAACAGAATGAAGCTCCTCAGTGTATCTGTGTGCTATCATGCTACATTTTTGCTTGTTTTTACACAAATATTTAGATTTTTTACTTTTAAGAAGATTATGTCCATTCACAGCTGCAGTTCTCTACTCATGGACTGGGTCAGTACAAGAATAGAAAGGCAGCCTGACAGTCTTTCTCTATCCTTCCTGAACTTTAGCCTTGACCCAAATGGACCACTGTAAGCATGCATGAATCTGAAGTAATTCAGTCTCCCTGCTAAATTTGCTGCAGTGGATTTAGTTGAAGATATTTTAGATTATGTAGTCTTTCTTCAGCTAGACTGCTTGCTGTGTATTATTCCTCTTATTTGTTAATCCTCTATTTCCTTAGGACTATTTCATTTAGGTATTATTAAATAAGGGATAAGTACATAATCCACTCATTTAGTCCAAGAAAATATTCACATCGTAATCGCAACTTCTTCATTTCACACGATTACAAGCAACTTTTCACATTGAATCTGGATCCAAAGTTCACTGAAACTATGAATGAGGCATTAGGGCAAGCTGAAGAATTACCTTCCATATTATTATACATACAGAGGATTCTAAGATTTGTAGCAGTGTTATGATCTTAGAGTGTGTATCGATACTTACCCAACCATTAGTCAACTAAATCTTTCAGTTAATCCAGCATAGATCACACCCCATAGCAGGAATTATTCATTTGTCTCTCAGTTTTCCAAGAACACTGGCTTTTATTTTGTTTGGAGAATGAATAGCGATTATTGAAGTTGGTTTCTTACATCAGTAGACACCCTTTTTTTAAACACAGAATAGGGAGTGAACCAGTGAATTCTTTTCTTAAGGTACATTCTGTGACTTTTGGAAAGACATTTCACAACCCCAGGATCATTCCTGTATCTCCACGAAGTGCTCGAGAAACTTCAGGATCTTTGGCACTTCCAGAAACTTTGAAGGCTGCTATGGGATTTCTTTCATTTTGTATGCTAATATGCACTGACAGCGCCCTTTTGCCATGAAGTAATGGCACACTTTACTAGATTCCCTTTGTGTTAAAATACAATATATTTCTTGGTATTATCAAGCAATAATATATGTTAAAAAGCAACACTGGAAATGAAATACTGATTAAGAGCAAACAGATCTATTTCACAATCCATCACGGCTGGCTATTTAAGCTCTGGTCATTCAGTGAACAGCCTCCCCCAGCTTAGTCACCTTGATATCCGTCACTGACCGCTGACCCGTGTGCTACCCACTCCTCACTATCATAGCTACGTCCATTGGAAAGAGCCTCACTGAGAGAACATATTTGTGATAGAACAGTAGATTGTTTGTTCAGTTTTTTTGTTCCCCCTTTTCCTCATTATTTTCTTGTGTGAGGAGGCAGAAATTTTTTAATCAACTAGAGATCCAGATCTGTTTTTCTATATATAAAGAGATTACTCATTCTTCAATTGTTTCTGCAAGAATTGCATTTTTAGAAATTAAATCAACATAAGAAACCTGAGATTGTCCAGAGATTGTTTTTTGGTAACTGATAATAAGAATAAAAAACACATGTTAATTTATACTGTAAAATTTTGCTAGACAAAGAATGCAGCTTGCTAGTCTCCACAGGTACTATGAAAAAACACAGGACTATGCATGACATATTTAATGTTGTGTTATTTCTGATGAGTGTTAAATCTGAGCTTCATCTGGTGTGCCCCACCTGAGGAATTAAAATGCTTGTAAATTGAGTATACCCCTGTCCACCTGATATTATGTAAACATTATATTAAAAAACATAGAGACTTTATTTAAAGAAGCCCTTCTAGAAGAACTTTCTGGCTTGATTATTTACAGCGTAATCTCCTTCTATGCCACCTGTGACCATTTACTTATGAAATAGCCGCAGCTGTGGAAATCACAGGAGTTCACTTCCCACACATCTTTTCTTTAAAGTAAAGGAAAACTGCTTCCTGAGGTGCTACACCATAAGATTCAGTTTCTTGCCACTGTAGCTCAAGTAGCACGGAGTGATTTTAGTATGCCATTATTTCATTGTATTCACTCATATGATACTTCTATTAAATCAGTGCTTCTTTTCTTATGAACTAAATACATCAAGAGTGGCTACTACACTGAATATACTTTAAAAGAGGAAAGCACTGGACACCAATGTCTTTGTTATATGCCCAAAGTTATGGCATTTCTTCATGTATACTGGCCTATCATATGCCACAGAAACCAATGAAAAATTTGCAACAATACATATTCAAGGGAGGACATACCCACATGTTCATTCTTTCTTAATTGATTACTTAACTTATCTTGCTCTGGTGTAAATTTGCCATGAGTTATTCATTAAAAACTAATAAAAACTTCCAAATGAGCTATAAATAAAATCAAAGAGTGCTGGTATTAATACTCACGTTATTCTGTTCCACTCTTCCCTGCCCAAACCAGCAAATTTAGCATTTCTAAGACTACTTAGAATCCCCTCAATATTTAGATGGATGACTTTGGAAGCTATTGCATGACATTATCTATGTACATATTCACGGCTTTTATTGTCTAACTACATGCCTATTTCAATGGTTTCAGAAAGAGGTCAAAAGATACAGAAAAATAGTTCAATTAATAAAAAAGGCATATTGCTTACCTTTTTTTTATTTGGTATTTCTTTCTCTAAATGCTCTGGCTTACTCTGCCAGTTGATCATTTTTACATGGATCCATGTGGAATGCCCTTTACTAAATTAAATATTCTCCAATATTGCCTACTGCTGTCTTTTGCAACATTTCCAGACTCTTAGATGTTAATATGTCCTGCCTGTCCTTAGAAAATTGTCCAAAAATCAATGCTATTGACATTTCATTTGTCTTAGTACCTTTGGTTTTTATAGAAATCAAAAGTTAGCAGGTTTGTTGCTTCGAAGCTGTTCTGAGCCTCCATCTGCTTGAAGTAATGAAGTGTTTTAACAAATACCCTTGGAAAACATGTATACATTTCAGCGGTTTTGGGTATTTGGGGCCAGAGGAGGAAGGAGAGGAAGAAGGTAGGTCTGGCTGGTAAAGAGGCAATGGGCTGCTATTACGTTTTCAGTATGCTTTCAGGTTTACCTGTCACTAGGATCTTCCTATGCTTTTGCACGCTTACTTGCACTTTCCGATTACGAAGTTTAAGGAATTTTGATGTGCCTTTATTCATGGTTATGTTCCTTTTTTTGCTACCTTCTTCCGCTATCCCAAGTCTGTGACATATGCTTTTCCTTGCCCTAGTATTTCACATTACAAATAAAATCCTTTTGCCATGGTCTGAAATGAGTCACCTATTAACAGATTACAGCTATATTCATTAGCTTTGCATCTGTGGAAATCACAGAGGTCAGCACACCCGAACTGCAAGTGATGAGTTTCACCCTGGGAAAACCCCCTTCCTGATAAAGGTGTCTCCCCTTCCCAGTATACGAGATGCTTGGTTTGGGGGAGGGCAAGCAGGGTCTGAACTCACAGCACCGGCTCAGGGTGAGACTTCGGGCCTCAGTCTCACTCCACAGGTTTAGCACCATGTTGCCCAGACCAGGCACGTCATGGCTCATACTGACCCAGACCTACTAAGCCTGGCTTGACCTAGCTGATTGTTCCAGATGTATTTTGATGTGTCTGTACAGTGCTTGACTCTTATTTACCACTGTAAGACAAATGCAAATGATCTATACAAAACACAGCTCTGTGTTCCTCATCTCTTTATCATGATGATCAGTTTCCTATGAGAAGTTTATAGTTTCAATTAACAGCTACATGGCTGACAAATACTCTTTTGTCAAATCGTAAGGGCTTAAGCTCATAAACCCTGTAACCCCAACAGAGAGAGATTTTTAAAACCAAAAGTCTATTAGCACTAAATTTTTAGTGTTGCTTCAGAGACAATTAGAAACCTCCATTACCTTTGACAACAGCAAATCTAAGATTGTAAGCATGTCAAAGTAAGGATACCAAAGTGGTATGGTTTTCATCACATTAGTAACTTAAATGCAAATTTAACACATCAAAACAAGATCTGTATGCTGCATTCCCACGCTTAATTTTAAATAAAACATTCAAACACTGTGATTAAATCATGCTATGGCTTTCAAAACTGTGGGCAACACACTTGTAGGCAACAGCACAGCGGAGAAACAGTTTCTGCAGAATGACTGCAAAGTGTTTCTCCTTACCTCCTGCCCAGGGGTGGGACTGGCTGGCAGAATGAGGCTGCAACTAGAGTATTTTCTATCTACTTCCTTCTTAGACCAGGGAAAACACAAGAGACAGATTGTCACTCCAATCTGTTTTTGAAACAGCAATAGCAACTCTCACAGTCTTTGTTTAGCTCTTCCCTTTTATTAAATGCATGAGGAAATATGTAGCACATGAAATAGAGTTCACAAAATGGGACTTTTCACTTGTCAGATCTAAGTTCATAAGCATAAAGATACATTACATATGTATTTTTTTATCACAAATAGGTAACAGTATCTTTTTGCTTTAAAAGAAAAGTTTAGTAGTGCCTAAAAACCACAAGTGAAGATTGAGTCCACCTTGTACGTTTGCTGATGCTGAGTGAGTTTCT